GCTTTCTCTGCTTGTAAGAAGAGTTTCTGATGTTCTAACAGCAGTCCGTACATATTGTAGGCACCAGCATTGTCCCTTACGCGATCTAGAAATTAAAGTAACATGAATACATACCCCTTACTAACCGCACGGATTTATGGCCCAGGCACTAAGCACGCGGGCCATAAACCGAGGGGAAAATTAAGGTTCCGTAACGTACAGTACGGACTGAATTAATGTGGTTAGTAGAAGAAACTGAGGTTCCGTAACGAACAGTACGGACCGAATAAACGTGGTTAGTAAAAGAAATTGAGGTTCCGTAACGTACAGTACGGACCGAATAAACGTGGCTAGTAGTAGTAGTAGTAGTAGTAGTAAGAGTAGTGGTAGTGGTAGTGGTAGTAGCAGTTCTTTAATTAATGTGGCACCACACTTAGCTACAAGCTACTTTCCAGGAAGCCCACAACAAAATATTCAATAAAAAATTACAACCTACATCAAAAATTATGTACATTAAGTGAAATATTATTAAAAAAAGGATATAAAAAAATCAAATATATATTTGTATACATGTGTAGTAAAACTTTGCGCGTATAGAGGTTTTGCACAGCAGCCATGTTGGAAGGCAGGAACAATGAAAATATTTTGCATAAGAAAGAATTTTTTTTCTCGTTTTTTTTTTAATCGTTTGTTCCTGCAATCCAACATGGCTGCTGTGCAAAACCTCTATAGTATCTGGTAGCGCGTTCCAAGTCTTAGCAGCAAAATAACGAAATGACTTAAGACCATGCTTGGTATTGTTAATCTTAGGTAAGGAAAGCATGTTAGTGCCTCTTAAGTTGTAATCAGTCCTCCTTGCTTTAACTAAGTCAGCAATAGGTCTGGGAGCCTTATATAGAAAGCAGTTATTGACCGTTAGCAACATGTCTTGAATCCTACGACTCTTCAATGTTGTATGCAAGCCGATGTAATCGAGCAAGTCTTCATATGAAAAACCCTTATCTTTATATACATATCTAAGCGCACGTTGATTTACCCTTTCCATTTTCTTTGTATTCCAATTTTGTAAGAGATGTATTTTATCTCTGGGTTCAAAGAGGGGGGGAAAGGTTTCAAATCAAACAAAATTTTGAATTTAGCGGGCTTTACATGGAAATATAACACATTAAATAGACGAATGATAGCGCACGCTGTACCTGAGAGATGCAATAACGTCACTTCAACGAAGTAAGCACTTTTCTCCTCACGTTTTCGCGTATACTCGCATTTTTCTTCTTTACGCCAAAATCGTCGCTTGAATAACAATAAAATCCTTTAATTTATAAAGTTCTATACATAAAAAAAATACAGTACCTGTGTATTTACTGAGGGCAGTGGCTGATTGAAGTACAGCCTTTCTGTATTCGGGACGAAGATGCGAGAGAGTAGCAGCAGGTTTTCCTTTGAGTATCATGTGATTTGTAGACGGTTTCTCTGATAAGAGACTCGAACAGACCCAATGAGAGTAGCCAATGCTACCTTCGACCTGAAAAGAGAAAATGTTATTTACTTATCAAAATTTTAGAGGGAATTAGCACAAAAAAAACATTGAAAAACAACCTCAATAAAACCCTCAAAGAGAGAAAACCTCAAGTTGACCGTATTTTACAAACAACAGAGTGACTGTGTAGAATGTACGTCAACCATTCAGAGGTTCAAGTTCTTCACGGAAAATTCAATATAATTTTTAACGATTTTAAGTTATTTCAGTGAAAGACGCACAAAATTAGCAATAAAAAAAGGCAACAAACGACAAGATTGCTAGGGATGGAGAAAACTTGCAACTAAGTTTTTCAAGAAGCCTGACATAGCAATTTCGATAGTGTTTGGAAATTATTTCCTCTAAAACCATTCGGCGAAACTTCATGGGGGTAATAAGCCTGAATTCGATTTTAGTGTCAACCTTAAGTGATTCTA